CACATCGTGAGCCTCCAACCATATCGGCATTCATCCTGCCTGCGGGCCATCCTCTCTCTCAGGTATCAGGCCCATCCCTCCCCCCCTCCCCCCCTCGTGTTCGCCCTTTAGACTCTCGACACGGGGAGCGCGGCATCCGCGCCCGGGGGCAAGAGAGATCGCCCCTCCCCCTCCTCGCCTCCCTTATGGGGGACAGCCGGGCGTCCTTCTCTCTGACAGCGAAAAAAAAGCCCCAGAAAAAAGAAAAAGAAAAGCCATACCCCATGCCTCGCCAGCCTCCCTCCTTTTCAATACAACCATATACATTTACGAGAGCAGCGGGTATGTGGGCCTGGGCCATGGGGAGATGCGATCTTCTTGGGGTGTATTTCAGGCCTCAATGTAATCGAAGTCTTCCGGGATGTTGAAAGAGGCCCGGAACTCCGACGGGGCGAGGGAGAATTTGTTCGAGCAGTAGGACTGGATGTTGAACAGGTTGTCCGTCCAGCGGTTGGCCGCATCCAACAGCTCCTTGGTCTCCTTCTCTGTGGGGTCCGGTCAGCGGAGAGGGTGGGCGGGAGGGAGGAGTGGGAGAGAGAGAGAGAGGGAGAGAAGGTAGGGCGTGGGTCGACGTGGTTAGGGCACGGGTATCCAGGGCAAAGGAGGTGAGCGGGCAATGTGGTCATCGGGCGACATACGCTTGGCTTCGATGACCTCCGGGTCCATGGCCTTGTATTTGTCGATCTTCTCCCGGAGACGAGCATTCTCGGCCTCCAGCGCTGCGAGCTCAGCCAGGTCCCGGGTCCGCTCTTCCGAGGGGGGCCGAGTGAGGAGCGCCTCGTCAAGGTCCGATTGGAGTTTGGCACGCTTTTGCCGTTCGTCCTCTACCGAGGCGGCAAGATCATCGCGGCGGCGCTTCGTCTGGGCAGCGGCGAAATCCAAATGCAGGAGTCAGGGGGGGACATCTCGATCGGCGCTGCATGGTGTGTATGTGTGTGTATGTGTGTGTGTGTGTGTGTGCGCATACCCCCTGGACAGCCTTGCTGGGGAAGGCCCAATAGTAGATGGAGGAGCCAACCTTCTCGGAGTCCACAATGCGATCGTCGACCAGACTCTGGAGGACCTCTTTGACAGTTTGCGAAACTACATCCCAATTGGGAGCGAGGGGTCAGTCGCCGAGCCGGGCAATGACTGGTACCAGCAACAAGGGCTTTGACGCACTAATTCCCTTTTGAGCCGGGCAGATGCGCTCGAGTTCCTTGATGTTAAAGAAACATTTCTGCCATGGTGGGGGGGGGGGGGAGAGGGAGGGGAGTATCGGTGAGCAGGGGAACATGGGAGCAACGAACGACGCGCAGATGTGCGCGCGACGAAGGGCACTGGGCGAGCGCGCACCGTCTCATAGAAAAGTTCCGTCATGCGCTTGCGCTTCTCCTCGAAGCTGAGGCCCTTGGCACGCTTGGACTAAAGGCGAAGTTAGGGGAAAGGTGCTCGAGCGGGGGGGGGGGGAAAGCTCGGAGAGAAGGGAGAGGGGAGGAGAAAAGGGGGAGGAGAGGAGAAAAGGGGGAGGAGAGGAGGAGGTACCATAGTTGTGGGAGAGAGAACAACAGTAGGATGGCTGTCGCGGGGTGGACGAGGCAGCAGGAAAAAGGAGAGAGGGAGAGAGAGAGAGGGAGAGAGAGAAGAGAAACGAGAGAAGAACAGGGAATGCGTGTGTTTGTCTAACCCGCCACGGCAGATCCCGGATCGCTCACCCCGCGCGCCGATAAATGTGTATGCATGCATGCATGTGGCCCACAGATGCGCCTGGGATATCCCTCCGTGACATGGGGCTGGGGATTTCCCCCAGGGGGCTTTGGGCTGAGATGCATCCGGGCTGATGCGCCGGCATCTGGCTGCGGGACAGCCCCGTGGCGCCACCCGGTCGGGAGGTCGACTCGATCCATATGCCAACGCATGGGCACCCGCCCCGCCCCGGGATATGTGCCCACCCCCGTTTGGAGAAAGCGGCCCCTCTGCGAGCGAGCGAGCGAGCGTGTGTGTGTGTGCTCACTTCCGCCCGGGGGCATCCCCCCCCCCCCCCCCCCCCCTTCCGAACCCTCAGGAGCCGGGACACCACACGACTCCATTGCTCAGGCGCGCAGGGTGCCCGGTCCGCTGGCAGAGGGGCGCCAAAGAACCAACACACCCTTCCTCGCCCGGGGGCTCGCGCGAGCGAGCAAAGATAGACAAATATATATATATAGTACATTGCATCGGGAGCGGTGGCGCGGAGGCGTGCTATGCACCGCACTAATGGTGTCGGCCCGGCCTCGGCCCTGCTCCTTCGCTCATTAGCCATGCATGGCCAAGGCCATGGAGATCTTTTGCCGGAAGACAGCGGCCATCGGCCGGGTGTGAAGGTTGGAATCCCAGGCGAGCTGGATCAAGTCCACAATGGGCGACGCTTGAAGGGTGGGATTCCGTTCGGGCGAGATGGCCTCTTGGATGTCGGGGCGCGCGCCGCCCACGCTGTTGGCAAGGATTTCCTCGAATCCAAGGCCTGCATTTTCCCCCAAGAGTCCCGCAGGGCGCACACGCGCGTCAGTATGCCATGACAAAGCCACCCACCAGCAAATGGCCAAGAAAGCGCACCCTCCCATGGGCTCTGCCGAGCCAGGGTTTCCCAGAGAAGCAGCGCGGCGGAGTACATATCCGCCGGCAGGCAGGCCTCCTTGGGGAGAGCCTGTTTCCGGTTGAAGGCCATGAAGACCTGCCGGCGGGCGAGAGGGCAAGCGAGGGCGGGGAGAGAGGAGGGGGGGGGGAGGCGGGGGGAGATCCCCGAAGCACACATGTTAGAGCGGGTATTTGTGAAGCGCGGGGAGGGGTCCCCCCCCCGGGGGAAGAGGTGGGCGGGCGAGAGGGAGGCTAAAAAAGACGCACCTCCGGAGCCGCGTAGCGTGCGGTAAGGGCATTCAGCGAGGGGATCGCCGAGGTCAGGGCATTCGACCGCTCCTCGGACAGGTTGCGGCTGGTGCCCAAATCGCCGAGGGCCGCATGCCAAGTCCCGTGTGCTCTTCCGATCTGAGGGAGGCTAAAAAAGACGCACCTCCGGAGCCGCGTAGCGTGCGGTAAGGGCATTCAGCGAGGGGATCGCCGAGGTCAGGGCATTCGACCGCTCCTCGGACAGGTTGCGGCTGGTGCCCAAATCGCCGAGGGCCGCATGCCAAGTCCCATCTGGGCGCTGCATGACAAACACATTGCCCGGCTTCAGATCGCAATGGGCGATGCCTTGCGCGTGCATGGCCTCCAGGCCGGAGGCTGCAGGTGGCACACCGAGACCAGGGGGAGGGGGAAAAAAGAGGGAACATGGTGGGGATAATCCGCGGGTCAGTGTGCAGGCATCGGTTCATGGGCATGCACGTGGGTGGACAGCAGGGAGGGCCGGAGGGCACCGCACGTACCCCACTGGCAGGCGATTCCCAGCAGCGCATGCACGTGGGTGGACAGCAGGGAGGGCCGGAGGGCACCGCACGTACCCCACTGGCAGGCGATTCCCAGCAGCTGGCACGTGTCCAGGGGGATCTCCGACTGCAGGAGCGTCGACAGGTCCGTCTGGTAGCACTCCATCACAATGGCCGGCGGGGCATCGCTGTAGCCGTACAGCCGCACGACATTCGGCACATCGCGCAGCAGCCACATCAGGGCCACCTCATTCTGGAAGAGGGTCATCTGGGTGGTGCTGCGCGCGGCGCCCTCCTCAGGCGCTTGATGGCCACGGTCGACGGGCAGCCCAGGCGATCGGAGATGCCAGCACCGACAGCCCGTGCGGCATACACGGTCGCCTGGGTGCCGGCACCCAGGTCGCCACTGTCGGTCAGCGGCATGAAGTCCGCGCCAATGTTAACCATGATCGATCCTGGCAGAGAGAGTTCTGTGTGCATGGGGAGGGAGGGGGAGGGGGGCGGAAACAGGGCGTCCGACGTGAGTAAGGCCGGCACGAAACCAACAGAGGACCAGGGCCGACTTGATGGGTGCACGTACCGAGGATGGTGTTCAAGACCGTGGCGTCTGGGGGCCACACGTCCACACATGCACATAGGAAGGGTTTTTTTTCCCGTCAGTCGCAAGCAACAAACACGGATTCAGGCTCACACAGGGCGCATGTTCAGCGAGGGCAACCCACGCCCAGGAAAGCAGCAGCGGGGCAGCCACGTACCGACATCGTCGTCGCCCTGAAGTCACCAAAAACACACCAACAGACACGTGCGTGTGCGCGAGAACGCACATACACACACACACACGCAGATATGTGCGAACACGCACGCATGCATATGAGGAGGTTGGGGGGGGGGGGAACGGGGTCAGAGAAAGGGCACACATCGGGGGGGTACCCGGGGCAGTGGGCGCACCTTGGGCGCCATAGGGGAGGCCTTCCGCCGGCGGGAGAAGTAAATCAAAGCCAAAGCCACCAGGATCAGCAGTAGCAGTGAAAGCAGACCCAGACCCACGCCAAGGCCGATGGCTGATGTAAAGGCAGGAGGCAGCAGGGTGAGCACCACAATGAGCACCAGGGGAGGGGGGCAGGAGGAGGAGGAGGAGGAGGAGGGGCCACATAATGGCCCAGGGCGAGGGGGAGAGCAACATACCCAGACGACTCTTCGGCGAGAGGCCGGACCACTCGGTGCATTCGGTCTTTAGAGGCCCCAGACAAGCAAGGCACCCTGCGGGGCAGGCCATGCATGCCGGGATGGCCGAGACCGCGGCCTCCTGGTCGGCGAAGAAGCCCGGCGGGCACTCCAGAACGCACCTGGCCGGGGCCCCGGGCTCCCGGTGCAGCAGGCGCCCGGACACGCACCGGTCGCACCCGGCCACAAGGGTGCACGAGAGGGGGCCATCGGCCGCCGGCAGCCGGCAAGCAGGCACCCCGGCCGGCAGCTCGGCATCGGCGGCGCCCGTGCAGGCCTCGCAGTGCTCCGGGCAGGGCAGGCACACCCGGTCAGGCCCAGGCCCGGCCGGGTCGGCCGGCCGGGTGACCGCCGCAAAGACCGCCGGGCAGCCGGCCTGCAGGCAAACCCGCGACTCGTAGTCCAGCCACCCGGCCGCCGGGCAGGAGGTGCAGCGCTCGGCCGATGCTTCGCATGTCCGGCAGCCGGCATGGCAGGGGCCGCACAGCTGGCCGCCCGGCTGGCGGAACTGCCCAGCCGGGCAGGAGACCTCACACCGACCCTCTGCGGTCAAGAAACGGCCGTCCTCGCAGGCGGTGCACACCGACGCGCATGACGTCCCATCGAAGGGCTCGCACGCGGTGCAGCCGTCCGGACAGGCCCGGCACTGGCGGGCCGGGTGGCACCCGAAGAAGCCTGGCGGGCAGTCGGCCCGGCAGTGGTCCTGATGGAGCAGGGCACCTTCGGGACAGCCGAGACACTGGTTGGCCCCCGGCCCGGCGCACGAGGCGCACGACGCGTGGCACGGCACGCACCGGGGCCCGGACGGGTGGTCGGCCTGGGCGAAGTGCCTCTCCGGGCAGGAGGCCATGCACCGCCCGGTCGAGCTGGCCGGCGTCGACGGGAGCAGCAGCCCCCCGCTGGGGCAGCCAGTGCAGCCGGTGCTCTGGCCATTGGCACATGAGGCGCACTGGGCGTCGCAGCCGGCACAGGCATTCTCCCCGGGCAGGCGGAAGGCACCGGCCGGGCAGGCGGCCACACACTGGCCGGCCCACATCAATGGCGTGCCCGCCGTGCAGGAAAGGCACTGGTCCGGCCCCGGGCCGAAGCACGTCCCGCACGAGCCATGGCACACGGAGCAGGCCCCGCCGAAGGGGAAGGTCAAT